TCCAAACTAAACAGAACCAAATGATCCAAACTGAAAAGATTCAAATGATCCAAAATAAAACAGAACCAAATGATCCAAACCAAACAGAACCAAATGATCCAAACTAAACAGAACCAAGTGATCCAAACTGAGAAGATTCAAATGATTGAAACCAAACAGAACCAAATGATCCAAACTGGGTAAAATCCAGGCTCCAGGAGTTTCAATCAAAATAAATCGGGTCCATTATGACTCCTTTTAATCTTCATATTCTTCTGTCTGTGTGCAGGCAGCCTGGACTCACTTCTGTGACGAGCAGGTGATAGAGATGAGGAATCATCTCGGAGTTTCTTCATGCCAGAGTTCACCCGGGACGGCACGTGCTCATACTGCGTCTGCCGTCTGCCCTGTGAGTTGAGGAGCTGGTGTTTGGCCACCAGGAGGCGCTGTTTCAGCCCCTCTTTTTCCGCCTGCAGCCCTCTGACCTTCTCCTGGAGCTCCTCCACCATCTCCTCCATCTCCACATCTCGGAACCTGGATGGAGGCTGTGCTGGTCCTGCAGCCAGCTGCTCCATCCGCCCGCGGTCTTTCACCAGCTTCATCAGCTTTGTTCCCAACCTGTTAAGAGACATAGTTAGTGACAAAAAAAAAAAAAACTAACTTGGAAATGTTGTTTCATTCATTTTATCATTCATTTTCATTTTACATTCATTCATTTTACTTTTTTTTATATTTCCTCTTTATGTGGAACAGATAAGTTTGAACGCAGCCATAATTCAATGATATCTGTGTGGAGCGATTGTCTCACTTCTTAATCTTTTCATCCTGTTTGTGAATGTGCAGCTTCAGCTGCAGCGTCTCCTCATGGACTCGCAGGAAGCGGTCCTCCAGCTCCTCCCTGGACAGCTTCCCCACGTTCAGCCGCTCCCGAGCGTGTTGATGCACAGACGGATCTGTCAGAGGAAACGGGAACGACCTTTTCACTCATCTCAGGTTTCAGTGAAAGGAAACAGAACGATTATCACTGCAGAAATGTTTAAGATCACTGGAAATTCTGACAGTTTTGGGAAAGTTTGATTTAAGGGAAGATCCAGCAGCTGGTTGCAGTGGAAACAGGAAGAGCAGAGCATCCTCACCTTGAGGAGCATCGGCGAGGCGGGACAGATTGACAGCGATGTCTCTGACAGGGAGATCTGCAGATGTCTCATCATGGACGAACGACATGTTTCAGTCTGAAAAATCAACACAGTTTTCATTAAACCCTCAGAGTTCAGGCACAGACGAACTTCAGCACCGATCCAATTCTCTAAAATCTGTTCTTTTCTCCAAACCTTTGCTATAGCTCTGTCTAAGCATCAGATTTACAAAGAAGAAAGCATAAACAGCTGGGAGGAGGATCCCAAAAAGTTAAAAGTATTTTTAGGATTGTTATCTGTTACTTTTTTCACTGTTGTTTCAAATTGGTGTTCAGAAGAAGCGTTTTATGCAGTTTCTATCTGAGTTTTAGACAGTTTTTATCATCATGTTTACTGTATACCTAGTGAATACAACAGAACATTGCGCATGAGGAATGGTGGCCTAATGGTTAATGCATTGCGCTTGGGTCTCGAAGGTTTTGAGCTCAGGTCCCACACACCAGACCATTAAGCCCAGACTGCTCCCCGGGTGCTCACACAGTGGCAGCCCACTGTTCCCCTAGGGCAGAGGTCATGGATAGGCGGACCGCGGTCCG